GACCCTGGACAGATGGCATGACGAAGTGTGCTCTGGAATGTCCTGCTACTGGCTTCCCCAAGCTTTCTTACCTCCCTGGAAACACGTATTTATACAACTACTCCGGTAAAACACAAGTTCAGTTGAAGGGTGTTGAAGACGGTATCACAGAGACCGACTGGTCCTGCAGGGTTGAGCTAACGTGGTTTACCCCCTGTGACATGGCCATTTTCATGAAGAATCCTGTAATAGATGGCGTCCCAGGTGAGCATCTTGTCTTCATGAAGGAGTCTATAGTAGGTGGAAATAAGTCACTCTGTCTGACTTTTTTGGGTTATCCTAGGTTCTCTACACATATGCTGCTATGTATGATAATTCTATGTAACTGTATTTGTGTATACCTGAATAAACTTACTTATTCTGTGAGACTCGCAGTCAGACTGTTTATACAAGCTGCTTCCCGAGAGTTACTCTCCTATTTTCAGCATCTGCTACATTCTTTCATTTTAGATGTCTTAAAATGAAATCACTTAAGCAACGAGGTGTTTGAGGCCGCAATGAAAATTTTTCAGATAGTCTTCTTCGTGATTCGCCGGTACTCTCCCGGCCCGGGCCTTTTCCAAGTGGTGGTCCGGCCTTGGCTCCCTTTCTCGGGAGTATCTCAGACTGTCTGCCATGGGAGGAGGTACAAGTGCCTCCTCATTGTTGGGACCAACTGTCCCCAGGCCTAGCCACATTCCCCGCCCTCACGGGGCTCATAGGGAGAAGCCAGGCCTCTCTGGTCTGCCATCCCCGCCCAAAGGGGGCTAATGGGAATGGTAGTCGTGTGAGCTGCAAGCTCGGACTCAGGTACCTACCCTACCCTAGAAGAGCTGGGCATGGTGTCGATGTTTTTCAGATAGTATTCGATTTTCAGTAACTATTCGTTGAACTAATGGGATGTTCTATCTGGCGGGTTATTATATTAAAGTAAAATAACTTTATTCGGATTTTAAGTTTTTTACTCAAAATTTGACTACAATAGTCTTAATGCTAAATAACTCAAGTGTAAATGCATTCGCAAGAAAACAGACCAGCTACTGTCCTCCTTGTTATGTCTTTCTGTCCATCTAAGTAGTATATTGTAGACAGGTATCCACATTTCGCTGTCAAAGTTGTCTTTTATGTTTGTCTCCGTGAAAGTTGGCAATATTACATTTAACTAAGTGATGAGTCCATTAATTAACGGTGAGGGTCTTCATGAATCTGTATGTAATAAAAACACGTACTAGAATTAACTATCATCTTTGATCAAAACGTGTGCAGTAAGTGGCCTCAGTCTTCATTTTGTATTCATGAAAAAACCATGTAGTAGGCGCGTCCGCAATGATGATAAAGTATATTTTGAATGCTACCAGTGAGTGCGTCCTAGCTCTGCAAAAATGCATTTTTCTTGATGTAGATGATATATTTTTTAATATGCTTCAGGAATAAGGATAACTTCAGTCATGGAAAAATATATTTTAATGAAATATATTTCACTGTATAAAGTAAAACCTCTGCGTTTGATGTTAATATGTTGGGTATTCATTGTTTCCACAAGGCTTAATTGGTCTTCGTGTTGTAAATCCATTAGATCTAACTACATTGATATTGTGTAATTTGTTTCCAACAGGTGATAAAGACTCAGAAAATAATATTTAAAATCGTGAAGACATTTCGTTATTAGTAAGCTGCCCAGACTTATATTTCAGTATGTATTATTCTCCTAGTCTATCACGAGACTATGAAGGGTATATGTATACCAACAGTCAGCTTAGGTTAACGGACATATTTGTAAAGTGTGGGATATTTTATTTTCCTTCTGTAAATCTTTGTTATATATTCCTTGAAGAAACCTTTCTTATTGGAGTCAGATTCCATTGCTAATTTGATTTCATTTTCTCATCCATAGGATGACCCGTCTCTTGATGTTCTTATAATGGCTCGCCTTCAAGAGATATTTTATTCTATTGTTGATTCATTTACAGTCATTAGTTTTATCGGATTTGTTAGTAGGGAATGTATGCATATTCTTCAAGAAGCTTGTTAAATGTTGCTAACGCAGGGTTTTTAATGAAACATTTATGAGGAATACTAAGATTCCTCTCAAAAAATTTGTTTTCATATCTTCCGATTCATCACTCAAAATCTAAAATTCTGAAAACATAACAAAATATAAAGATATTTATTGCAAGTATTGTATATTCTTATGTAATTTTATATTACATATTAAGATATTGTTAAATATGTTTATAAAGCTTTAATTAAGACTAAAAGCGCTAAATATTTACATATATCAAAAAATTATTTATTTTTAATTTACTATACTTTATTAATTGTTTGGATTATGTTGAACCGTGACACGAATGTGGAGGCGTCCCTCCTAGATTACAAAGACAACCCCACTTGCGAACCTTTATTTAATCTCGTGCGGATAGTTCAAGTTTTCTCTGACAGTGGTGTGTGTGTGTGTGTGTGTGTGTATATATACTCACCTAGATGTACTCACCTAGCTATGGTTGCGGGGGTCGAGTCACAGCTCCTGGCCCCTACCCGGTCACTCTTCCCGCTCCGTGAGCTTTATTATACCTCTTCATAAAGCTATGTATGGGTCCAGCCTCCACTACATCGCTACCTAGGCTATTCCACTTCCTGACAACTCTATGACTGAAGAAATACTTCCTAACATCCCTGTAGTTCATCTGAGTCTTCAGCTTCCAACTGTGACCCCTAGTTGTTGTGTCCCACCTCTGGAACATCCTGTCTCTGTCCACCTTGTCTATACCTCTCAGTATTTTGTGTGTCGTTATCATATCCTCCCTAACTCTCCTGTATTCCAGTGTCGTCAGGTCGATTTCCCTTAACCTCTCCTTGTAGGACATACTCCTTAGCTCCGGGACTAGTCTTGTTGCAAACCTTTACACTTTCTCTAGTTTCCTTACATGCTTGGCTAGGTGAGGGTTCCAAACTGGCGCTGCATATTCCAATATGGGCCTAACGTACACAGTGTACAGGGCCCTGAATGACTCCTTATTTAGATGTTGGAATGCTGTTCTTAGGTTTACCAGGCGCCCGTATGCTGCAGCAGTTATTTGGTTGATGTGCGCCTCAGGAGATGTTCCCGGTGTTATACTCACACCAAGATCCTTTTCCTTGAGTGAGGTTTGTAGTCTCTGGCCCCCTAGACTGTACTCTGTCTTTGGTCTTCTTTGCCTTTCCCCAATCTTCATGACTTTGCACTTGATGGGGTTGAACTCCAGGAGCCAGTTTCTGGACCAGGCCTGCAGTCTGTCCAGATCCCTCTGTAGTTCTGCCTGGTCTTCGTCCAGTTGAATTCACAAATTCCAGAAACATCACTGGTCCTAGGACTGATCCCTGTGGCACCCCGCTCGTTACTGGCGCCCACTCTGACACCTCGCCACGTACCATGACACGCTGTCTTCCTGACAGGTATTCCCTGATCCACTGTAGTGCCTTCCCTGTTATCCCTGTTTGGTCCTCCAGCTTCCACACTAATCTCTTGCGTGGAACTGTGTCAAACGCCTTCTTACATTCCAAGAAAATGCAATTTACCCATCCTTCTTTCTCTTGTCTTACTGCTGTCACCCTGTCATAGAGCTCCAGTTGGTTTGTGACGCAGGATTTCCCGTCCCTGAAACCGTGCTGGCTATCGTCGATAAGCTCATTCGTTTCTAGGTGCTCCACCACTCTTTTCCTGATAATTTTCTCCATGACCTTGCATACTATACATGTCAGTGACACTGGTATGTAGTTTAATGCTTCATGTCTATCTCCTTTTTAAAAAAATGGGACTACATTTGCTGTCTTCCATACTTCCAGTAGTTGCCCTGTTTTGACAGATGTGTTGAAGATAGTTGTTAGTGGTACACCTCTGCTCCCTCTCTCAGGACCCATGGAGAAATGTTATCCAGCCCCATCGCCTTTGAGGTATCTAGCTCACTTAAAAGCCTCTTCACTCCTTCCTCGGTTGTATGTATTGTGTCCAACACTTGATGGTGTACCCCACCTCTCTGCCTTTCTGGAGGCCCTTCTATCTCCTCTGTGAATCTCATGTTGAGCTCCTCACATACTTCGTGGTCATTTTTTGTAACCTCTTCCCCTTCCTTCCTGAGCCTGATTACCTGGTCCTTGATTTGATTTCCTCCTGATGTGGCTGTACAACAGCTTTGAGGCAGATTCGGCTTTTGCGGCTTTGTCATTCTCGTATTGTCTTTGGGCCTCCCTTCTTACCTGTGCATATTCATTTCTGGTTCTATGACTGCTCTCCTTATTCTCCTGGATCCTTTGCCTTCTCTACTACTTCCATTCCCCAGTACACTTAGTTTTGGCCTCCTGCACCTTTGGGTGAACCACGGGCTCATCCTGGCTTTTTCATTATACCTTTTACCTATATTGTGTGTGTGTGTTTAAAATTCGCAAAACAGGCGAAATATTTACAAACACAAATCTCAGGCCGAAGGAGACTCGAACCTTGGGACAAGGTACGCAGTGCTCTACTCACCGTACCACACTGGTCCAATACTCTGGCGCCCAGCTAACGCTTGACGTTTTGGTCCAAAGAGCACTGCGGCAGCGGAGGCAGAAAGCTCTGTCATTTTTCTCACCTGAAGAGCTCATCAACGCTTCTATGATGGCCTAATTGCAATCATAACTGCACTAACGTATGTAGAACCCAGCATGGCCCAAGATAAACAACAGTGATACCTACAAACCGAAAAATTACCGATTGAAGTGAAGACTGCCCCTCAAACTCCAAGCACAGCCCAGCTGCCAGACGACTACCTACTCCAAGCTCTTAACTAATTTAGTTTCTTCATCTAACCACAGCAACTCCTGTACTACTATGAGACCAACTCACAGAAGAAACAGCACTAACAACAGCAAGGCAGCACCTAGAAATCGACTATTCCATAAGACGACCCAGCAGGACGCCGGCGCCCCATCCATCCCCCTCACCACCCAGAGCGACGCATCACCAACAACAAACATGGCCGACTCACCCTCACCCACCAACCAAGGCGACTCGACTACACCAACCGTGAATGACTCCATCTCTACCTCTACTACCTTCATGGGATTTAAGTGTATAACTGAATTATCTATTCTGTAATAATCACTTTTTCTTTTAATTTTTTACAAGTTTTAGAATAGTCACGGAGTCTTATTCATAAGTCTAGTTGTAGATTCAATATAAATCTTATATTATTTTACTCAGAAAATCT